GGTGGGCCCGGGGCAAAGGGACAGCACAATGGGACTCATCCACCCAGTCACAATCAACTCGGCCAGCTCCCCAAAGCTAATGTAGCCTATTCGTCCAGCAGAGTTTAGCACAGCAAACCAAGTAGACCATTAAAAAAAAAATGCAAAGCACTACGCAGCACTGCAGTAGTCACAAGTTGTGGTGGGGGAGTGCCTTTGCCATCCTTGTCCCACTTCTTGAATTGCTCTCGCACTGGATCAAGTCTGCCTTGATCAGAACATGAGGTTTCCGGTCAACTAGATGTACCAAAAAATGGTGGACTTCGATGCATGACCCAATATATCATACCTTATATGTCATGTGTAGACAGCCTCAGACAGTGCATGTCCATATCTCAAGTCATTTTGCTCAAGTCAACCATCATAGAACCAACAGGCAGAAAGGATCTTTGCAGCCAATTTCAACTACACAAACGCCTCAAGCAAACATCGCAACATTTCAGGCTGATGCGGCATCTGCAGTGATTAAAGCCATCAAATACAACAAAAGAATCAATAAAAATAGATAGACCTTAAAATATATATATATAATCATAATGATCATAGTAAATGACGCACTCTGTTTCATCGAGGCCAGAAGTCGACTACTGACGAGCCTTCCCACGACGGCACAGGGACCAGCATTGCCTGGCCAGGCTTTGCATCAGCCGGCACCTTCACTTCGAAGAATTGGCCTGAAGTCCATGCTGATTATATGAGCGAAAGTCCATGCTGAAGTCGATGCAAATGAGCCTAAAAGCATCTTGTGTACAGATGTATACTATCCCTTCTTGATTTCCTACAAGAAGGTGCTACCTGTTGTTGCTTGGTCTCCTAAAGAATCCATGAAGTATAATAGTATACAATAGTTGAAATGTCCCAGAGTTTTAGACATTCACGGGGTTGGAGTTGCTGGAGACAAACATCTAAGATTTTGAACCCACTCATGAATCAAAGCAGGCAGTCAGCTGCGCAATCTGACACAATCCACAGAAACTCAACTTGATAAAGGAAGGCTCTGAAAGTTCCTCAAGATTCGTGGCACCTAGCCTTCCATCTCAATCTTGTAAAGCGTAAAAGTACGTGCACTTGAGGACTTGAGGACTCTGGCAGCTAGAACTCATGGTCAGACGCTGCATGAAGGCTGTCCAATGACTTTCTGAGCAAAGAACTATCAAAACAACATGCAACATGGTCCTACTTGTTCCATCTTGCCCCCTAAATGCAGCTAAGCAACCCTTCGCCTTTGGGTGGGGGACCTTGATCACAGTTCCTGCTGTGCCCTCGGGCACCTGCCAAAGCAGTGACAATCCACAAGCCAGCAACAAGAGCGACGAGCATTTGCATCAATGTTTATGGCAAACTAGTTCAAAAAAGCTCACAATAGGTCACAATAACATACAGGGTTGACTATTACACTTGTACATTGACATGAAAACTGAAGACTAGAGAATGCTTAGTTGCAAAATCTTTGGAATTATCTACCGCAAGACACCTCGCTTTGCTTCAATTTGACTGTTTTTCCATTTTTTTTGGCAACAGCACTGAAACGCGAACGGAGCTGCAACGGAACAGGAACGGAACTGAAACAGAACGGAAAGGAACCGGAACCAAACCGGAATGGAAGCAGAACAGAACCAGAACAGAACCGGGACCGCCCAACCTGATCGGAACCGGAACTGGACGGGGATGGGACCCGACCGGAACCGAACCAAAACTGAAACCTGAACAGTTAACCGGAACCAAAGAACCGAACGGAGTGGGAGCGGAATGGAACCGGAACGGAACCGGAACAGAACCAGAACCGGAACAGAACCGGAACGGAACGAAAGAACCGCAAAGAAAGAACCGGAACGGTTGAACGGAACCGGAACAGAACCGAACCGGAATGGCAACGCAACGGAACAGAACCGGAACCGGAAGCAAACCAGAAGAGAACCGCAAGGGAACCGGAATGGAACTGGAACAGAACCGAAACGGAACCGGAACCGGAACCGAACCGGAATGGAAACGTAACAGAACAGAACCGGAAGCGAACCAGAAGGGAACCGGAAGGGAACCAGAAGGGAACCGGAAGGGAGCCCGAAGGGAACCAGAATGGAACTGGAACGGAACCGGAACGGAACCAATTGGACCCGGAACCAATTGGGAATGAAAACGGAACAGAGCGAACCCTGCAACCCTGCAACCCTCCCGAAAATTTTCCCAAACGTACCCCAGGACCTGTTTGCCTCAGGTTCTCGACACACTATCTTTGAGGTTGTCCACGATCGTGTGTTTTCAGTTTGGTTGACATCGCACTAAGAAGTGGCAACAATTCGGAAGATCCATCGAACATCTTGGATATCTTGGACATGTTCAGAAAGAAATGACATGCATGCCACCGGCCAGACCTGGCCACATACAGTAGGCTGAACTGCAATGGTTTCACACAGAATAGGTGTCCTTCTGACAGGAGTTGCATGCCTTGATGCAAATCGTTGGTCCCGGTTCCATGGGCTTGTCGTCAGCATCTCTGATAGGGCCGCCTGGGGCCTCCATACCTCAAGTTCATGCACTCAGGCTTAGAACGGAAACACGAAAAGAGGGTCTCTCGAACAGAACGAGGTCTATCGAGGTCTTGTTGTTACATCAAAAACTAGAAAAAACAAATTATATAAAGGACCGGATAACCCCACAAGTCAACTTCTTCCAATAATGAGTTTCAATGGTTTTAGCGGGGACAGGGAAGAAAGGAAAGACAAAGGAGGTGGTGAAAGATCGAGAAGGTAAAACGGTATGTATGTATGTATGTATGTATGTAGTTGTATGTAGGTATGTATGTAGTTGTATGTAGTTGTATGTAGTTGTATGTAGTTGTATGTAGTTGTATGTAGTTGTATGTAGTTGTATGTAGTTGTATGTAGTTGTATGTAGTTGTGTGTAGTTGTATGTGTGTGACACGCCTGCCACGCAAAACGACGGTGGATGTGAGTTTGTGCCACGCCTGCCACGTGAAATGAAGGTGGATGTCACCAAGTACCACGCCTGCCACGCAAACAGCCGCGGCGTCACGGGCGACAAATCCGGACCAAGCGCGCCACCCAATGCCATAAGCGCCACGCCTGCCACGCAAAACGAAGGTATGCCATAAGCGCCACGCCTGCCACGCAAAACGACGGTGGATGTGAGTTTGTGCCACGCCTGCCACGTGAAATGAAGGTGGATGTCACCAAGCCACGCCTGCCACGCAAACAGCCGCGGCGTCACGGGCGACAAATCCGGACCAAGCGCGCCACCCAATGCCATAAGTGCCACGCCTGCCACGCAAAACGAAGGCATGCCATAAGTGCCATGCCTGCCACGAGAAATGAAGGTGGATGTCACCAAGTACCACACCTGCCACGCAAAACGACGGTGGATGTGAGTTTGTGCCACGCCTGCCACGTGAAATGAAGGTGGATGTCACCAAGTACCACGCCTGCCACGCAAACAGCCGCGGCGTCACGGGCGACAAATCCGGACCAAGCGCGCCACCCAATGCCATAAGTGCCACGCCTGCCACGCAAAACGAAGGTGGATGTGATTTTGTGCCACGCCTGCCACGTGAAATGAAGGTGGATGTCACCAAGTACCACGCCTGCCACGCAAACAGCTGCGGCGTCACGGGCGACAAATCCGGACCAAGCGCGCCACCCAATGCCATAAGTGCCACGCCTGCCACGCAAAACGAAGGTGAATGTGTGAAATGAAGGTGGATGTCACCAAGTACAACGTCTGCCACGCAAACAGCCGCGGCGTCACGGGCGACAAATCCGGACCAAGCGCGCCACCCAATGCCATAAGTGCCACGCCTGCCACGCAAAACGAAGGTATGCCATAAGCGCCACGCCTGCCACGCAAAACGACGGTGGATGTGAGTTTGTGCCACGCCTGCCACGTGAAATGAAGGTGGATGTCACCAAGTACCACGCCTGCCACGCAAACAGCCGCGGCGTCACGGGCGACAAATCCGGACCAAGCGCGCCACCCAATGCCATAAGTGCCACGCCTGCCACGCAAAACGAAGGTATGCCATAAGTGCCACGCCTGCCACGTGAAGGGCCGCGGCGTCACAGGCGACAAATCCGGACCAAGCGCGCCACCCAATGCCATAAGTGCCACGCCTGCCACGCAAAACGAAGGTGGATGTGTGAAATGAAGGTGGATGTCACCGCAAAACGACCGTGGATGTGAGATTGCGCCACGCCTGCGGCCTGCCACGCAAAACGACCGTGGATGTGAGAGTGCGCCACGTGGATTGTATGTGAGAGTGTGTGTGTGTGAGTGTGAGTGAAGTTAGTGGAGAGTGTGCCACGTGGATTGTATGTGAGTGTGTGTGTGAGTGTGAGTGAAGTTAGTGGAGTGTGAGTGAAGTTATTGTATGTGTGACAAAGTTGTGTGTGTGTGAGTGTGTGTTAAACTATTGTATGTTAAGTTTGTGTGTGTGTGAAGTTATTGTACCTGAGAGATGGTATGTGACAAAGTTGTGTGTGTGAAATTATTGTATGTTAAGTTTGTGTGTGTGTGAAGTTATTGTATGTGAGAGATGGTATGTGACAAAGTTGCGTGTGTGTGTGTGTGTGTTAGTGTGTGTGTGAAGTTATTGTATGTTAAATTTGTGTGTGTGAAGTTATGGTATGTGACATGTGTGGAGGTGGAGGCGGGAGGCGGGAGGAGGAGGCGGGAGGAGGCGGAGCAGACCCGGGATACAGAATCAAAAACAAGAACCCCACACAAAGTTGTGGGGAATAAGCTTCGGTGGTATCCCCAACAGCCGCAACGTTTTATTTTTACAAATCTTTTTGAAGCGTGCTGCGAAGCCAAGCGCTGGAAACACCTCAGCTGGATTTCCGGGAATTAAATGGCCGCAAATCCTGTTGAACATCACCTGGCTCTGCACCAAAGCCTCCCAGACCTTCTCCGGAACTCCGGAGCCTTCTCCACAACCTGTTGAACTTGACCGGAACCTTCTCCAGAACCCTGTTGAACCTGACCTGGCTCTCTGCAAAGCCTCCCAGACCTTCTCCGCAACCTTCTTCGGAACCCTGTTGAACCTGACCTGGCTTTGCACCAAAGCCTCCCAGACCTTCTCCGGAACCTTCTCCGGAACCTTCTCTGGAACCCTGCTGAACCTGACCTGGCTCTGCACCAACCGGAACCTTCTATGGAACCCTGTTGAACCTGACTTCGTTTTGCACCAAAGCCTCCCACACCTTCTCCGGAACCTTCGAAGCCCTGTTGAACCTCACCCGGAACCCTGTTGAACCTGACCTGGCTCACTTTTCTGGAATTCGGAGCCTTCTCCAGAACCCAGTTGAACCTGACACCAAAGCCTCCCAGACCTTCTCCGGAACCTTCTCCGGAACCCTGTTGAACGTGACCTGCCTCTGCATCAAAGCCTCCCAGACCTTCTCCGGAACCTTCGGAACCTTCTCCGGAACCTCGTTGAACCTGACCCAGCGCCTGCGCTGTTGGGGAAAAAAGAAACGGAAAGCAGAGCTGAGCGCAGGGTCGTACAAATGTCCGCCGAACAGTATCATGTGGCATTTCTTGGCAAGGTAAAACATTGGAACTGATGTAGGCATGTAAAATCACTTGTGTAAAATGTTCATGTCCTTCAGCATAAAAAGTAGGTTCAAAGCAAGGCAACCCTGATGCTGCTTGGAGCAAGTTGGAGTGAGTGTGCTCAACTTTCGCAAAAAGTCCATGGAGAAGACAAGTAAATCAGGTCTTGAAAATGTAAATCAACATGATTTGCAAACGTCTCAATACATGAGCCCTTGTCAGAGCCAATTAGGGACATGCACCACAGCTTCTTCATCTCCAACTGAAACTTTGTACCCACAAACCTTATCTTAAAGGTCTTAGAACCACTTCAAAAGGTCTGGAACCCTGCCTTCGAACTCTTACAATTTCTTGAACTCTTGTTTTTTTGTGCCAGCACCCAAACCTACCTTTGGCAGAGACCATAAAGTCACCACTAGGTGGAATAGCTTTTTGGGAGAGAGCGGAGGTAAACAGCAGCCAAGAGGCGGTATGGAGCCCGGATCTCTCGACTGCCCCCACTGATTAAGTTCTCCTAGACTTAGGGATGTCAAAGCTGTTCACAAAATAATTCATGCCAAAAGGATCCAAAAGGAAGGAATCTTCAACAGCCACCGAGTCCTGAGTCATCTGCTTGAAATTAACCTGCCAAGCACGAGTTTCTTGCGTCTTCACTGCACATCCACGCAGCTTTACAGTATCCGAAGAAATCACAGCAACTGCGAAACACCCACCTCGTATTTCTCCTGAAAAGGTGCAGGAGCATGCTTATAACATCTTATAACTCGAAGTCCATGAATGCACTGCAAATGCACCCATAAGTAGCAAACACTGTACTGGAACCTGGAAACCATGGTGATGAGGCCCAACCAGCAGAGCGCAAGCGGAAGGCAAGAGAGCTAGGTCGTGCATAGACACAACGTCATACGTCCATCCATTCTCTGTGCCAAGGTGCTAGTATGTGCGTATATCATTGCATGTATACATATGTCTGAACATGTATATTTCAGTGCATGTATATGCATGTACATCTCTTACAATACCTAGATAATTTCAACACAATGCACATCTGCATAATACTGTATGATCAATAGATGAATGATTATGGCAGCACTTGAGATGAACAAACATCGCTACATCAACTCTCTCCTTCTTGCCATTGATGAACCTAGGATCATGCATGCATATTTCAATACATGTCATTCTTTCAAAAATCGAAACGCTGGAACTTGTTTTGATCTATCTTCGTTTTCAACATGTTTGCCACAATTGCTTACTTGCCAAATTGGGAAAATGGCTTTGATAAGTCTCAGATGCTGGCATATTGAACCGGGCAGTACGCTGTCCAGACATGTACGCAGTCTTCAATTTCTTGTCTTCCTTGTGCCTTGGGAAAACCGAGTACAAGGCAGCAATGCAGTGCATGACAAAAGGATACAAGCGGCACAAGAAATGCTGGCGGTGCAAATGCAGAGAACACAGTGGCGCTCAGGGGAATCATCATACTGTTCATGACTTCTGACTGAACGTCGCGAAATTCTGCAGCATGGATGATGCTGACACCGAAGACCTCTTACACACCGAAGATTGCTTTTCATGTTTCAGATTGTGCTGTGCAGCTCCCCAATTCCATAGCAAGTGACTCATAGTCCTGCCAATGCCGGCCAAGCTTGACCTGGAACTTCGACATGGTTCCTGCAGAACAGCATGAGATGCCAAATGGAGGCGCAGTCCACAAAAACTTTGGCGAGAGGCCTCCGAACAACCTCTCTGTCATTGCTTACTGTTTACTTACATATGTGCTATAATGTATGTAAGTGTATACATCTATGTATTGAGATTTGAGATATAAAACATAATAAGATATAATATTTATATACAATTCTATACACATAATCACATATGTGTGTACATGATGTACATGCAATATTTGATACATAGACCTGGATGCATTCAAGGTGCAACAGCTTTCAGCACGAGTACAGGACTTGAGACTCGGTTTGAGCCGATGAGAGACTCGGACTGACCAGTGAAGTTCAAGGATCTTGTGAAAGGGAGGGATGGATCGGGATGGATCCGAATGAAAGGAACTCTCGGGTCTATGCAAAATGAGCAGAATGAAACTCGACATGAAGTGGTCCTCCTGGTGTACTTCAATGGGTCTCAATGATTTCACTACGTTACCGTATATTTCACTTCATTTCTACCTTTCTTCATCATCTGTTTCTATCTATCTTACTATCTCTGCTAGAAGTTCACCTCAATCCGGGGCCATGTGCTTCCTAAATTCATTCAGTTCCATGGATTCCATGATGCACTCTTTTGGCATTTTTTGGCTCGCTTAGCAGCTGGAGTCAAGAGTGTGTTGATTCGGGAGAATGTTACTGCATTGCAGCGGAAAGCCAGCATTGTCATGCAAATACCATGAATGAAACCATCTGCCTGTACTCAAACGCGGAACAAGAGCAGAATGCTCAATTTGCTCTTCAGATCTTCATATCCTTTTGTAGAAGCTTCCGTTGAATCACAACTGGAATCCGCTGCACGTCTGACAAAGTCAGTAGATGAAAATTTTCAAGAATTGAAACATGGAAACATGCAAAGCCTGCATGGTATGCCAGAGGATTAGAAAAGCAAAGCGAATTGCAAATCATCAAAAGTTTGGCGAGTGGCGAGAACATTGCCGACGAGCTGGAGGTTCTCTACAGGTTCGATTCTGTTTTTAGACAAAGACTAGGGCACAAAAATGTGTGCTGATTATTTCTTATTCGGTGTGTAGCAGGATAAAACCGATTGCTGTTTGAAATGGCAGCGACTCTGCCACCACTGTGTCTAAACACACTATCCATTCGGAAGTTTTGATTCTCTTGCAAATCATGCATCCCCCCATGAAGGTTTCTGGATATCCATCCTCGTGATACCAAACCATTTCTTGAAACCCAACATATCCAAAAATTCATCATCTTATACATATTGGAATGTCCAAGTACGATAACGTGGCATTCCTGGTTCTGTGCGAGCTCTGCTTCCCAAGCCTCGATCTGGAATTTGAAAATAATATAATTATACATATTTAGGGTAAAATGTCACTGGATGCCCTTCAGGTGGGCCAAATGTTCAAGCAAAAACATTGTGACATGGCATCATAGCTTTAAGCATGTTTCATTTATGTTGTTTGCATTGACTGTTGTGCGTTGCATTTCTGTGCACTGTGTTTGGGCTTATATTTATGGTCGAGACCAAGAAACACACCAAGTCGTACAACAGAAATTACTATCTGAAAACACAAGAGGGGCTGAAAACAACATTTGATGGCAAATGTATCAAATGTATCTTAATTTTCAACGAAACATCTAGAACTGTCAACCATTCTCCATCATTCTCCACTCGCAGTCTTTACTGTCTGGTTCAACCAGTGTGTTGGGGTAGCAACCTGCTGAAGCTGCTGAAGCAGTTGCTTGGGCCCGAGGGACCCAGAAGCACATTTAACATCCGAGAAGGATGGCCGTGTTTCGAGAGTGCCATAGCTTATCTTGTTTGCTCCGCCTAGCAAAGTACGTCCTGCCAAACTGGACGGATGGAATAGAGCCGCTTGGCATCTCTTGGCTAAGTTCAGTAATGAGCCTTGTCGCGCAGTACAGAAGTTGAACAAGTTGGCTACCTCTGGTAAAGAATTGTACTGATTCAAGTGGTTCAACATGTGTTATGATTTGTTCACGGGTCTTTCGGAAGTGCAATCAGTCCGTACAAGCCCAGCGCCGGGACAGCCTTGTACACGGTTTCTGTACAAGCTGAGGATTCAGAGGTTCGGCCATGACATGCCATGACAAAAGTCAAGGAATTTGCTCCTCGCAGACTCGCAGCTTTTGGTTTGCAATTTGCGATTCAAAGACTCTGAACACGAAGAAACTCAATCTCAATCGGGTTCTTTTCATGAAGAAGGCATCTACACGTCCTCACCAAGTCATAGTAAAGGCCAGGGAACCTTAGAGTGACATCAGGACATGCCGATACATGCCGTACCACAAGCCGTACCACGATGTCACACGGCTGTCAACCAAGAAACGAAATGAAACGAAGCGGCGATGGCGGAATCTGAGGCTGTCTGAGACTTTTGCCTTTGAGGCCCCGGCTGAACTGTGCATGGCATGCTCGGTAGAGCTCTGGCCGGGTGACGTTTGAAACATTGTCACGAAGCCTCTGCCACGCATTCCACGTCTCCACAAGATTGAATCTGCTGCTGTCGTGACCAGATTTAACCGGTGGCACTAGGTAGCTCCACGTAGATCCTTCGAAGAAAATGATTTGTGTCATTGATTGTGCCACATCTATGATTTCTTTCAGTGTTGCTGAACGCTACCAGTACCCTTCACGAAGACACAACCTCGTCCAAGCTCTTTACATTGAGGTGAAACAGTTTGCACAACGGGTGACAGAGCCTGCCAGACAGTGGATGTAGTATAGCAAAACAACAGCTAACATCAACCAAATTCAACCAACAACAATAATCTTTCTCAACATGTTACCATGACTGTGAAGTGTGGCTTGTCACAATCTACTCTGGGATAGCTAGAAAAAACAAGAGCGCTGTGGCGAGCGTGAGACACGCTCACCACCATTCCAACGCCCATGGATAGAGGCAGAGTCTATCCGAGTCTATCTGAGTGTATCCGCTATACTGCTTTATACTGCTTTGTATGCCATCTTGGAGGTCAGTGGAGTCTATCTCAATATCTCAATAACCTCCAAGAACCCTGTTTGTTTTCAAGACGAATGTTAGTGCAGCTTGCCAATGCTTAAGAGAAGCTTGCTTTCAATAAACATGCTCGCAGATGCTGTTAGATTGGAGAAGTGGAAATAAGGTGTGGCTTCTGAAATGGAGTCTGAAATGAAGATAAATGAAGCAAAGAAGGTTTATTTGTTTTGCTTGGTTTTTGTTTGGTTTTTTGCTTCAAATGTTGGACTCTCCTGGACTCTCCTCACTCCTCTTAGCATTGCCGCTTGGTGGCATCTTGTGCACTCTTGGCGGCTTCCGTGGCGTGGCTATGCTAGGTCTCCAACCATGCAACCTAAAGCATCGCATCCAAGTGTCCTATATACACCGAAACCTTGGACTGAGGGAAGAACGGTGTGAGAGTACACTATGCATTGGTATGCATCGGTATGCTGTATGCATCTCTAATATCTCTAGCTGCTAAGCCTGGTCTTGCATGACAGATCATGACAGGTATCTTTCCAATTCTTTTGGATTTGTACAAGTTAGAGTAATGATCTGCAAATCCGGAAGCATTCCACAAAGGCACTAATTATCAGCTCGTTGTTTTGGAAACTTCTCTGCAAGGCCAGGTGGTAGTCGTCTATGTTTTTCGACTCCAATACAACTCTCTACTCTCTACACATCTCTCCAGTAGGAAGCAGTGGACCAGGTCAAACTCAACACTGTCCAGGATGCTGCAACCTGCACTGCCGATGAACTGAAAAAGGAAGTTAACATACTATCCTAGCATGAGGGGCAAAATGGTCATGTTTTCTGGTGCAAGAATCTGCAAGAATGTCCTGGTTCAGTGGATCTGTGCTTTCTTCAACTGAGCGCCATGCGCTGTGAATAAAACTGCTAGAACACCTCTGTCGAGTCTGCGCTGATCTCCAGAAGCTCAAAGTCGCAGGCGGCCTAACGAAGACACCAAAAAATACATAGAAAGCTAATCCTAACTGGAAACAAAATCCATTTGGGACCGAAGCTGGAAGATCAACACAAGTAGCACAGGCCTGATCAAACATCTCTGCCTGGTCAAGGAGACTGAAGCAGTCTGAAAGGATGTCATCAAGATTTAAAAATAACAAAGCAGTGTCGGTCTACCAAGACCTCAAGGGCTTGCTTCAGTTCTGATACTAGGACTGAGGGCTGAGTGACTTGAACTCTTCAATTGGAGACTAAAACCTGCTAGAACTCCACCTTTAATTCTTCAGAAACAGGACGTTTGGGGATGTTGACTTGAAGCATCTACAGTACCACGAGAATATCACATCAAATCTTCCCGGAAGCCCTGTTTGGAAGATTCAGTACCATTCAAAGAATGAATTCTGGATAGATTTTTGGCGAATGTACGGATGCCTGCATGCCTTTCCCTGCCTGACTGTCTGCATATCTGCATCCATCTGTGATATAATTCAATCATATTCAGTCTCTACTCTACAACAAGATTGATACAAGATTGACCTATTCTCTAGCTGCTAGAGACATCTGTCATCGATATTTCGCCCTGGCTCCCAACACAGCACGCCAAGGCACCTCAGAAAGTGGAGACAAACTGTCCGAGCTCATGACTCCCTGCGCAGGGAGACATGTCAAACGAGCCACGCATTCAGTCCCTTCAGTTGGACGATGCCCCCGAAATGGCAAAGCAACATGTAACATAAAGCAACAGCAGTCTGAACATGTCTGGAACAGTGAGAGTTCATTACAGTTGATGAGAGTTGCTGAGAATTGATTCTCAGAGACTCAGAGTTGAGAATTGGTGCTTTAGCCTTGGAAGACCCAGAAGTGCTTAAGGATGCAAGGCTCATCTGCGACATTGAGTGAAGGAGCTTGGTGCGCTCCTCAACGAAGAGCTGCTGAAACCAAAAAGTAAATGCCCGGGGCTGCGGGGCCATGTAGAAAGACTGGACAAAGAGAAACAAAATGTACACTGACACACACAACATTGGCAAGGTGGAAATTCTTCTACCTCATTCCAGCATTTCCAAATGACTTGAAGAACACTCTACCTTCTTCCTGCCTGAACCCTCGAATTAGAAAGTCGCTTTATATCTCAAATTGTCTTCAACAATGTCTTCGACACTTCGTTTTTCATCTCCTTGGGGCATGAAGCCCGCAAAGTAGAAGGACCCTGGCATAGGCTCAGGATCTCATCGCCTTCCAAGACTTCCAAAAGGCTACAAAAAAAATGTCTACAACATTCTACAACTCATGTTCCGCAAAGCTTGCCAAGAGATGCCAAGAGAATGTTGGGAACTGAAATTGCGGAACAGACTTGCACATGAATCAATCGAAGATGTTTACGTGGTTGATCAAAGATGCCAAACTCCCAAACTTATCATTGATGAGAGTACATTCGGCAGAAGACTGGCCAAGGGCGCTAACAGGTTTCGCCACGTACGCCGCATTGTGCTCAGCAGTGTAGTTCCTCAGAGCGGGTCAAACTGACATAGTCGACATAGTTGAGGTTCTTCGGGAGATGCTGTACCAGGGTTTGTTGTCACAATGTGCAGGAAGGAACCATCTTCACTGTCTACACTCGAAACGATTAACCTAGCTTTAATCAAGTCGGAAGGGCGCCACGTTTGTAGCTGGACACAAGTAAGGGGCATGATGATAGACCCTACTGGGCATAGCAAGGGCCAGGAACCTTGCTGGCTGAACGCCGACAAAGCTTAGCCTTTTTCATAGGTGCCGTGACAAAGATTTGCAGGTCTGAACAGCCGACTGCACTTTGTACAGTTGCCTGAGCTCAAAACACAAACCGATGACTGTTCCACAAGAAGTGCTTAGATAATTTGGATAGCAAACAATAGCCCCATCATACCACTTCATGGAAGCCCAGGTGTTCAGGCTCCTTATGGCCTGTGGCCTATGAATGGCCTGTGTACGTGAAAAAAGACTCTTCAGAATTGGTATCTGCAGATGGCATCCACTGTGGCGGAAGCTCCAAAGAAAGAGTTTTCAAAGATTCTCCCGAGGCCAGTACTGACATGAGCAAAACTGCGACAGCAAGTCTCGACTTCGCAGAGTTTCTACAAGAGAGCTTGGGTGTGCTTAAACGGAACTGGCGTGTTATTGTATTAATATTGCAAATCCTTATTTAGGTTGATATGATATAGTGATTGATATAATAATATACATATATATATAAAATATATATATACTATACATGTGGTGTAGCAGCTTCTGGATCGGCTCTGATTCCACCCAGCTGGACAATCGGCATCTAAATATCACGGTTTTTCACATGGATTGTTATCGACAGCTGAAACGTTCTAAAGCTTATAAAAATGATAAAACAGGCTATGCCATACTATGCATGACAAATCATGACACCGTGTCCTAGATGATTTTCGCTGAACTCTCTCCATGAGGAATCGAGGCTCGCTGTCAAGCAGTGTCAAGCGGAAGCACTGTGGACACTGCGGAGCAGCAACACCTTCAATCGCACTGCAATCCTGTTTGCTTTGCCAGGATTGGGCAGTGTGCAATTGGGTTTGCAGTGTGCACACTGCCGCTGCTATTGGCTATCAATCTTACCATTCTGAACCATTCTGAACCTTGGAAAAGTGCATGAAGCGTCCTCCATGTGGTGAGACTTTCGCAGGGCCAGCGCAAGGCCAAGCTTTCAATGGCTGTTCTAAACACTCATAGCGGGCGAGCTGTTGTAATCCAACACATTCCAACACCAATGACGTTTGACGCTTGAGAGCTAGTCACTTGAAAAAATGTGATGAATCTCCATCCACAACGCTGTCTCAATGTCCATGTCTCCATGTCACCGCACTATTCGTTCGTTTGCTGAAGCATGGCAAAGTGTCGAAGGTGACTTGTGCAACTCAATATGGTTCGATAATCAAATATTCAAAGTTTCACATTGTCCAGGTTTCAAAGCGTGCTGTATCAATTTGCTGCGGTGCAAACCTGACCAAAAGAATGTCATTCATTGAGCCCTTCACCATACTTTGCCATAATCTCACTGCGGCTCACTTGGAAGATGTATCGCGGGATCGTCTGCTCTCTTCACGATCATGTATGAATAGTTTTGAATAGTGAAAGCAAACCAAGTTTTGCTTTGCATCTGAAGAAAAACACTGCCCACGATGTCTATCCATTGTGGCTGAATCACGAGAACTGTCCCAGAGGCTACAGAAGCGATCCGGCCGCAGTTTCGACGATTGGTCATCCTTCGTGAGCCCATCTACAGCGAGCAGGAGCAATCAGCAACCTTCCTGCTGCGTTCGTCCTGTTGAAATTGCTGCTAAAGCTCAAGGAAGCATGATACAAAATGACCTGCCACAATCAATGTATCCAACATACAACTAGAGACACACAGTTTGGATGCCGCACAAAAGTTGTTGTTTCGGGAGCTTTGACAGATACAACTGTGATGTATTGCGATGTAAGATGCTTGTGGCAACTGGTGCAGGATTTGGATGTCATGAAGTACACAGTCACATGGTGCAATTATCTTTGGATGGAAACTACAGTACTACAGCAACGGTGGGTGGTTCTGGCAAACGACATTTTCCTCAATGGCACATGAAAATTCTAACGCAGAAGCTCACTGACATTTCCAACAACAAGGCGACTTTTGTAAAATTTGAATGTTGCCCATCAGTATTTATCCTCGACAAACCCTTGCAAGACCATATCTCACAGCCTCACAGCACAGAATGTCACACACCAAAACTTGAGTCGCAGAATCTATGCATTTTCGGATTGCTCCATTTCGGCTGCTCACAGACTTGAGGGATGCAAATTCCTGAGGGTGGGCTCCACCTTCCACCCCTCAGGTAGCCAACAAGCTTTGAACTACGACCAGTCAGCCCTCGACAGGATGTTGCAAGTCCTTCAGCAATTCGAAACTTAAAATTGAAAAGAATGATACAACCTGATACAACTGCTCAAATCTGCTCAACCTTATAGTTTTATAGTTCTTGATTCTTTAAGGACATGTCTCTAGCAATTTTTGCACCAAATCTACGAAACAAATTGGAATATCGGGGGCCGGCGAATCGTGGAGCTCAAGCTTTGAACAGCACGGCACCGTCTACACGGGTCTCTTCCCATGGATGATTGTATTAAAGTAAAAATAAATACATATATAGATTGTGTGATGCATAAAAGGACCCCGCTCAGCACACTTCAAAGCCCTTAGGCTCTCTGAGGCGCTTCCTGTTTTTGTTGTACTATAGAGAGTTAATTTGTGTATATGTATATGTATAATCTATATGTGTATGTATGTATGTATGTATGTATGTATGTATGTATGTATGTATGTAAGTATGTAAGTATGTAAGTATGTAAGTATGTAAGTATGTAAGTATGTAAGTATGTAAGTATGTAAGTATGTACGTATGTAAGTATGTATGTAAGTATGTAAGCATGTAAGTATGTATGTACGTATGTAAGTATGTAAGTATGTAAGTATGTAAGCATGTAAGTATGTAAGTATGTAAGTATGTAATGTAGTTGGTTTATAAAGTTGGTTGCTAAGAGCTTCAAAGGAAATTCTCTGAGGGGATTGGCCATGGGCAGCTCAGAGACGGCAGATTTGCCAACTGTATTCAGGAACAGGAAGATCAGAGGATCGTGTTCAGAACCTCTTGCTCTGGACAAAAAAAACATCCCAGGGACCAATGAAATACAAATCTTTCATTCAATGCTGAATCCACTGTATATTATGTTCCCTGGCCCTGCTCCCTGGAAGAAATGGCTCATCTTTACTTCAAGAAGTTCTTGCAGCCTCACAACGGATTGAAGCGTCACAACTGTCGCAAATCAATGCCTCTCAACTCAATTGGTTTCTCTTGGCTCTTCAGATCGGTCACCTTTGTAGCCCAGCACAAATGCCCCTGTTTCATAGTGGCATGATGAGTATGAAATGCACTTGTGAAATCTTGCGAATGGATGTAAATGGCCTGAATTCAGATGTCAGCAGTGTCAAGCCTGTGAAAGTCTGCTTCGGGAGTTCTTTCATTCCAGACTTGAGGAGATGTTCGCTATCACCACAGGCCGGCGCTGCTTTAGCTTTGCAGTGTTTACCTCAAATAGCTAAATTGTCAAATTGGAAGCTCGCTTCGAATTCGCTGAATGCATCCAGTGCAAGCTTGATTCACGTTTGAGTCTTATAGTTTGGCTTTGTTGGACTGTATTCAGGCACATGGCACCAAAATTGACAGCGCAGAGAAGACTGCAGGGCGCTAGTACACAGATGTGCTCAAGCATATGTGTAAGCGTATTGACGAGAATGTTTGCAGTGCTTTTCTTGTTGCGTTTCCCCGCAAGGAAGCCTTGAGAAAGCGTTGAGGTCCAGAAATTGTTTTCCAAGGAGCCACTGCACGCTCATAGTGCGCCAAGTTTGCCTCCAAGCCCTGCAAATGGGCAGCTGAGACTGATGCGATCTTGCCTAGGCCAAGGTGTGGGCTGCCATGGACTGCCGCCAACTGCAAATCCAACGGACGAACACTATTGCCTTGTGGTGAAGCATATGTTCAATGTTTCTCTAGCTGTGGAAAACCAGCTGTCAGTCACCTGATTGGTCTGTATCACAAGGTGCATGCTTGAAATACTGACATTGCATGCACTGCAGATCTACTGCAATCTATTTATTGGCCATCTTCATGCAAACTTCCCGAGGGCTTGCAGATTCCAAGCGCACCTGACGTCTTCCTATGGCATTTGAAGCGGTAATCGTGGAAGGCATCCATGCAATTCTTTGCCCACTCCTGGTTCAGCTCTAGAAACACAGCTCTACATTGCAACAGGCAGCCACCATTAACCAAAATTAGCCAGCCAGAAGTGCTCCCATTTTGGTCAAGATCTGTCAAGATCAGTCCTTGTCAATAAAGTTGACAAATGCATAGCCCACATTTGCCATAGTCCCTTTGTCCAAGGGGATATACAAGAAGTTGAATTTGCCTCCAATTTGCTCGAGGTCACAGAAGTTGGGCTAGTCAGGCTAGTGGCTGGTGACTTAAATTTAGATTTAAAAGAGCTCGTATGAAAACAACATGTGCCAAGTGCATCTACACCGGTAGTGCAATAATGCTGAAAGCTTATGCATGCTTATGCTGTCTTCTGACAGCATGGAACTTTTTCTTCTGCATAGCTCCTGTGAGTGCCTTTCCGCCCAAAGATAGCCCATGTGCGGACCTCTTGATCACAGGAACTTGACAAATGCAGCTTTAGGATGAAACCCTCCCAAGGTGACGGCAGGTTGATGGGGCAACCTTCCGCAACTCTCCAGGACTTTCGCAGACAGTGGCTTCATCACACAACCAGAACTCAATGCAATGTGGTTTCAAAGTGCCCTACCATTGCGATGCATCCCACTATAATAAGACAAAGGATTTGGTGGCAACCAATTGAGACATGATGAGATTGTTCCTCTGTAATTCCCTGGCTGATCTGGAACCTGCCTCCAAAACCAAGGTCTTCAAGCTCTGCAATAAGGTCACGCTGTGAATATCGATTCGGAATGTTGCGAATCCTCAGCGGGTCCGATGCAAGACTTTGAATTTACACGCACACGTACCTACACAGCAAAAACAATGCAAAGAGTAAAAAGGATGTATACAACATGTGTGAAGCAACATATCAAACATAACTCTGAGGACATGACATCAAAGTCGTGATCTCCTGCTGGCCTTCATGCTGCTCTTGCAGATTGACCTCAAGTCCGACGTTTCAATAAACCATCAACCTGTTTATTTAGAGCCAAGAAATATCAACAAGATTTCGATACCTTCCCCCCTTAAATCCTCACTCAACCTTCAGAGTGTACCAAGTCTGGGTTGTTTCCATCACTAACTTGTTTTTTTGGTTGTTGACTCTTTTGTTGTAGAAAGGCCACATCCTGTTGAGAGTGCTCCAACGGTCTATACACAGTAAATTGCAACGGACGGAAGTAAGCGGTGAGTCGGAATCCCTCAAGTACAACGTGTGTAATTCAAACAAACACAACCTTGACAAAAAATACATCTGGAGAGTGAGGAGGCCAAGATCTGCAAAGCTTTGCGGAAGCTCTAGGTCAGCAATTACTTACTGCCGCTCGAACCCGCGAATGAAAATAAGAACTGCCTCCCCAACAAGACTTGACCATTTTAAGCCATGTAATAAATCATATTTAATCATACTACGCAGTTACTAGCCAATACAAATAAACACATATATATATATATACAGTATATATTACGAACAAAATTCAAACAACATTTTACGAATTCAGCTCCAATTGCATCAGTGGCGCTGTCTTCGGCACGAGAGAGTGACGGTATTCCTTTTGCCACGCCTGATGTCATCGAAAAGAAAGATACAAAGCACATGTCATATATGTCTGCGGTGCAAGTTACAAAGCAACCACACATGATTTGAGCTCTATCTCACCTTTGCTTTCTCCCGCTCGGAAGGGCTAGAGCAACGCGAAGCATCACTTCCTGCAAATGAGGCTTCTGCCAGACCACACAGCTTTGCACAAAGCTAAACCCGGCCAAAAAGAATATGCTACACATCCTCCAGCTCCAGCTACCTGGTCCAACCCCAGGCAATCACACAGAAGGCTGCCATACTCCGAGTCAATACAAACCAATCAGCTAGAAAATCCAGAAATTCTTCTGCCGTTACTCTTTGTTGCAGCAAAAACTCGAGCAACAAATGTACATGGATACTGATTATGGGTCTATCATCCCAGCTGTTTCACCGGAATATTTGGCAGATTTACATGATGTTCCTGGTCTTGGGCTGCAACTGGTAGTGGGGCTCTCATCGACAAGTCCGACAGGCTTCGGCCCTGCACAGGCGGCTGTCTCTTGAGGTCCTGCAATAGAAAACACTTGACCCGTATGAATCTCTGTGACTCTGTGACTCTGTGACTCTGTGACTCTGTGACTCTGTGACTCTGTGACTCTGTGACTCTGTGACTGTGATTCCATCTGTTTGTATTTCCATGAATCTCAACAAGTTCTGCAAGCATCTTCTTAGTAATTAGTATTTCTTCACTCTCCTTCCTCGTCACATCTCCTCGTATCTTGTCATATCCTTGTCATTCTTTTTGTATCTGGTCATCTTCTGGTCATCTTCTGGTCATCTCCCGGCTCCTGGCTCCCTTGGCTCCCTTGGCTCCCTTGGCTCCCTTGGCTCCCTTGGCTTCGGCCTCGAGTCCCTCTCTCGTCGCCGTTCTTCCCGGGTCGGTTTTGGCGCATCGTCCGGATACTCCACGAGGTCAAACTCCACAGCTTCCTCACCACCTGGCTCCTCGACGGCAACTCGTTTTGCTAACAAAGCAAGGCATGAAGTCCACAAGCCTTGCAGATCTTGCAGTGGTATTGGTAAAAATATGTAGAAATCAAAGGACGCTCAGAATATCTATGAAAGTGACTTCCCAAGTGTTTGCTGCCTCCAAGTTTGCATCCGTTGACGGTCCATTGGATTCAGCTGATCTGCAAACATCATTGGGGCATGCGTTGCAGGTTGTTGCAGAACTTGCTGGCTTGGCTTAGTTGTTGTATCTTTGTGGTCAGGGTCCCTGTCAGGTTCAGTCCTCTATCCCACTGTAGATGGAGCCAAATGAACACGCCCGGGAGCGATTTGCCTGCAAACCAACAAGATCAACAAGCATGCTGCATGAGCGCCAACCTCACAAGCAGGTGCAAATGATTTGGGTATGTTTTATGTTTTTGTGGGATTGCTTTTGTATTTTGCAGTCTGGTGGACTTTTTCTTGAATTTGCTTCATTTTGGCTGCATTTTGGAGCTAAAATCTCTCATTTGCACGCTATATGCTGCATTTTGGGGCCAAAATCGCTAATTTGGACGGTATTTGCACCATTTTGGACCTTGGATCTATTGTTGGCAGAAAAATTTGCAGGATCTGGGAGCCAGCATTTGCACAATATTTGCATCATACAGTACCGTAAACTGAAATATCTTATTGGCATGGTATTTGTAGCATTTTGGCGCAACAATCTGCAATTTGCATGGGTTTGCTACATGTTAAAAATGAAACCTGTTCTCATTGTTATCTATGTTCACTGTTATTTACATGTTTTCGACCTTGTTGATAGCACAATAGCAGCGGCATATTGGCAATATTTCGGAGTCCTTTAAGGTCGGTGTAGTGCTCATTTAGGGTGGGTTTCGGGTTTTTGTTAAGGATTTATTTAGAATTTAGAATTTATTGGGGTTGCTTTAAGGCTTAATTGTAGGTTGGGTGTGACTCTATTAAAGGCTGGGTTTGTGTTTATTTAGGGTTTGTGTCAGGTTGATTCAGGGTTGGGTTATGAGTTTAGGGTTTATTTAGGCTTGGTTTGGGTTTTATTTTAGGTTGGTTTAGGGTCTATTTCGGGTTGGTTTCAGGTTTATGTATTCATGGTTTGTTTAGGTTTGGATTACAATAGGGCTTATTTAAATTTGGGGATACAAGGTGTGCATATAAGTAACTACTAAGAAAGTGTATAGATGTATGTATGGCAATCGTTATGGTTATGGTTGTGGTTGTGGTTATGGTTATGTATGTATGTAATTATATATATCCTATATCATATTATATATATCATATATCATATATTAAATATTATATATAAATTATATATTATATATTAAACATTATATATTATATATAATACATTATATGTATTATATTATATATTATATATTATATATTATATATTATATATTATATATTATATATTTTATTATATATTATATATTATATATTATATATTATATATTATATAAAATATTATATATTATATACTATATATCATATTATATATTAAATATTATCTACAATATATAATATATAATAAATTATATATTATATATTATACATTATATATTATATACTACAAATTATATATTATATATCATATATTAAAAAATTATTCATTATATAAATTATATTATGTTTTTTACATTATATATTATATATTATAAAATATATATGATATATATATATACATGATATATTACACATAGTATATCTTAAAAACATTATCTTAATCATATTATATATATATTGTATTACATGTATATTATACATTATATTTTGTATATATTATACATTATAAAATCTTATATATAATATATTATATATAAAATATGTTATATAATATATTGTATATTATATATATTATATATTATATATATTATATATTATATTTTGTATATTAAATATTATAAATTATATATTATATATATTATATATTATGTATTAAATATTATAAATTATATATTAATATTATATATATTATATATTATATATTATATATATTATAGTTAAATATTATATATTAAGATTATATATTATATATATTATATATTATATATTATATATATTATATCATATATAATATATTATATATTATATATTATATTTAAATACTATATGTTATATATAATATATAATATGTTATATATTATATTTTTTTATATTTTATTTTATTTTATTTATTATATTTTATTTTATATATTATATATTATATATTATATTATATATTATATATTACATATTATGTATTATATATTATATATTATATATAATATATAGGATAAACTGTATGTATAAATATATAGTAGTGTATTTACGAGTGTGCAAGCTCGGATTTAAACAAAAAGAAAGCAGGAGGGATGGGGATTGGGCGGACGAAGGTTGCAGCGCCTCCCCCCAAAGCAGAACGACAATACCTTTTCTCTCACATGTATGCTTTAGGTTGGTATTGTACTTGTACATAGTGCACCACGTGCACCTATAGAATGTACAAAATTGTCCATTGTTGGTGTCCCACTTTGTCCCATAGTGTTCCCCCTACTGCGGTTTCACTTCGTATGTTCACAGTATAGAATGCATGTTGAGGCACAACTGTGTTGGGTTCAAATAGCTTCAATGGATGTTATCAAAGTGTTCCTATAAATAGATTCCATTCTTAATTGGATCTTGCCTTTCTTATAAAACATGCTCATTGTCGTTTTGTTTTTTCTAATTGAAGTTTTTACTCGCTGTCTGAGCAATAGTTGCAACATACTGCCAAGAAACCACAGAAAGCAAAAAAAAAACAAGAAGCCACAAAAGCCACAAAAGCCACAAAAGCCACAAAAGCCACAAAAGCCACAAAAGCCACAAAGCCACAAAGCCACAAAAGCCACAAAAGCCACAAAAGCCACAAAAGCCACAAGAGCCAAGAAGCCAGACTAGAAAACAAAAAAGAACATGATGAAAATAATAACCATCCCCTCACAAACGCATTGTGCCTCAAAGGACGTAATGCTGCTGATGGAGCCATTGGAGTGCACGTGTCGCATCCCCCGTTGGCCCTCCTGGAAAGTGTTGCAGAGAAAATGAAGGGAAAACAAAAGGTTGGAAACTGCATATTGTATTGCCACTTCCACAGATCCAGCCATTTCCAAATCTACAGTAACCTTTATATACAGTAATTGACAAATTCAGCTAGGAAATCGAAAAACGGACCGAAATGATCCCAAAATGAAGACTTGTCCGACACGTTTTATTAGCATGTGAGGTTTCACTGATGATTCTCTGCAGGTGGGTCAGTCCTCCGTTGCTTCACTTCCTAGAGACCAAACAGAACCGCTTGAGCTCGCACGCGGCATAGCGTAGCCATGGTTGTTTGGTGGTCGACAAACCTCCTCCAGCCTGAATTGCGGCGACGAATAGCACTCAGTGACCTACGGACAGATCAAATAAACAGTACCCCCATATAACCGCACCAAAACAGCTATAATGGGGCTGTTGGACAAAACCGCCAGTCTTCGTTCAAAGATCAACTTTGTATACCTTATCAATGAGATTCATGTGTGATTTGTACCTTGTTTTTTCCCGAAAAATTAACTTTTAGCCCAATTAGTACATAGGCTTGCCCAATTTGTTTGGCTTTGGGGCTGAAACCAAAGCTTCCTTAAGTCTTTTTGGTGTTTGGAGCTCTGAAACCAAAATAAAGACCCTCTGCAGCAAAACCAAAAGATAACTGAGGAAAAAAAAAAAGCAAACTTATCTTGGCTAGACCAAACATTTTCCTCATTGTTTTTTCCTCACTGTTTTTCATGCCAAGTATGATATTTGCTTTACTGAAGGAAAACGTAGATATTCAATGAACATATAGATGCTACATACTGAGGGCTTTCCAAATATGTATGTCGATATATGGTATCTCCCTTGGTATTGAAATCTCCAAATGAGTGACCAAAACACTGCAAAATTTGGGATCCCAAAATTCTCGAATAAGTTGCCAACACATTGTAAATTACAGTACAAAATACAAAACGGTAGGTCTTCGCGGGGGGGACCATATCGATATGTACATAAAATTATGTCTATATGACTATATGTGTATATATGTATATATTATATAATTGTGTCTATTGTGAAAACAAACGTACATGTTATATAAACATGTATATTCATTCAGTCAGTCATTCATGCATTTATTCACGCAACTCTGATACATATCTATACCGTTACATTCATAGTATATCATAATATGTAATTTCTTATAATATGTATCTGACATGAATATGTCTATCTTTACGATGATTCTTAATGTCTACCTCAGCGCTCCACTCTCATCGTAATCGCTGTATCTTTTCCTCTCCCGTCCTCTGCTTCAGTTGATTAAGCTCTTGAGCACTGGGCCCTGACTTCCTGCATGCAACCCCAAAGGCGGACAAATACTCTATAAATATAGACATAACATAGATGTATTCTGCAATTTGATGCAATTTCTGCAACTCACTTGGAAAGAGCTCAGAAATAGTTATTGTGTGAACAGTCCTGAACAATATATAACAAAGTGCGAAGTGAGGCAAAAGGGAAGCAGAAGTGAAGCAGAATACAGAGATACACAAAGATGCAGCATGATCAAAATTCAAAAATGACAATGTTTTGAAACTGCCAGCGGCTCCCGGGGAAAATCTGCTCAGGTGGCGAAGATGCCCCAGAGCTGCCATAGCTCTCAGCGCGCACTCTGCCAGGACCCTCAAAGTCTGGTAATGGTCCAGGCTGAAGAACTGGTGACCTGGCACAGCATCGGGCCGAAGGCCACACATAGCCACCATCGGCACATTGGCCATTGGAATCATAAGGTCAAAACATAAACTAAATTGCGTCATGTTGCATCTGTAGTGAAAAAGACAAGCCAGTCCTCCTGCAAAAGCATTGCCTACGGTGTGGTCAGTCCCGTTGCGCCTCACTTCACGAAGGGCATCTTCATCTTCGTCCAAGATCCTAAGTGCATCAGCCAAGACAACTGACCAGCTTGAGATGCTACCAGTAACACCCTACCGCGCCGCAGCAGAAGTTTTGATGATATTCAGTGGCGACAGAAAATGCAGGGCCGTGCGGGGCCTATAGGAAAGTGTCTCCAATGCCACCGCCGTTTCATTGACTTCAAAAACTGCATGGTTGAGCAGAAGAAGAAAGAATGCATGAAGGAATCAATGTATGAGTATGAATGATTGAATGAACTAACGAACGAATGGACGGGCTGCCTTTTCTCTGTGCCTCTTCTCTAATCTACTGAACAGCTATGTCTGCTCTGAGAGGCTTCTTTTCTGAGGAAGCTCTTCGCTGAGCCCGTTCTTGTCGGAGCTCTTTCTTAGCTACCTTTTCTCTTGGATTGCCTCTTTACTGAACTATATATATAGATAAAGATAATAATAATCATAATAATAATATATGACGTATATATGATATATACCTCTTCTCAGAGCTGCCTCTTCACTGAACTTTCCTTTGAGGTATTCTTATTTGAGCCACATCTCGTCTCAATTATAAAACTTCTTGCAGCTGCCTTTCTTCTTTGGGTCAAGTCATGCCTCGGCCACTTTTTGTCTCGAGTCTCAACCAACTCCTTTCTCTGCCAATTTTTTTCTGAACTACCTCTTCTGTGACCTAACTCATCTCTTCGAGCAGCTGCTACAATGCATTTAGCAACCTCCGCCTGCAATCCAGCATGGCAAGAGAGTCAGACTGTGTCTCAAAACTCTGCTTTGCGCGCCGTCGGAACCTTCACTTGCATTCCGGCACAGCGCGAGAATCACACCATATCCAGAAGTCTCATTCGGGCAGCGGTGACTTTGTGTTTAGCAACCTTAAGCAGCTGCATGGCAGGAGAGTCGCAACATCATGTCACGAGACTGCGGAAAACCAGCCATCACTGGGCGGCTGCTCAAGCCACAAAATCAGCCAAAACACAACGCTTTGCGCGTTTTTTGCAGATTGTCGTTGCCATGATCTGTATACTGTTTCCACTACCTCCTGTGTCAACTTCCCAACTAGTGATGCTTCCGGTGTAGTTGACTTGATGAGGTGAAAGCTGCCCATTGATCGACATTTGTCTGTAACTCGGAAGTTTTCTAGCTAAACTTCCTCTGTGAACTGGCTGTCTGAGTCCAAAGTCCCCTTCACCCAAGTTTTCGTAACTTACAATTACAAGTCAATCTGATTATCTGATTTGTACTCCGTCGACTCCTTAATGCTAAAAGTGACACCCTTAATTCGTGAGTTGCTTCACATCGCAATGACCGGCTGTCCAAGGCTGTCCAAGGCTGTCCAAGACTCTTGTTCAGCCTTCGCATCTGATCCTCGCTTCCATCTTCTCGGTGCGGTGAGCTGCATTCAGCAGAACGTGCCCGTGGAGAGGCCCGCGGCGACGGCTCTACAGGTAGCTCATCACCTGCACAAATATAGGGAATCTTCGAAGCTCGAGCAATACTTGTCAGGTTCAAAACTTTTTTGAGCACTGGACCAGTTTTCTGTATTTAAAAATAAGCTTCGGCGGTATCCACAACAGCCGCAACGTTTTACTAGATTTTACACATCTTTCTCAACCGTGCTGCGAAGCCAAGCACTGGAAAAACCACAGCTGGGTTTCCGTGAGTTAAATGAACCTGACCTGGCTTGGCTTCTGCAACCTTCTCCGCAACCCGTGAAACCTGACTTGGCTTTGCACCAAGGCTTCCTGGAACCTTCTCCGGAACCTTCTCTGGAACCCTGTTAAACCTGACCTGGCTCTGCACCAAAGCCTCCCAGACCTTCTCCGCAACCTTCTCGACAACCTTTTCCGAAACCCTGTTGAACTTAACCTGGCTCTGCAAAAGGCTCCCAGACGTTCACCGGAGCCTTCGCCGGAACCCGTTAAACCTGACTTGGCTTTGCACAAAAGCTTCCTGGAACCTTCTCCGGAACCTTCTTCGGACCCCTGTTGAACTTGACCTGGCTCTGCAACAAAGCCTCCCAGACCTTCTCCGGAACCTTCTCCGGAACCCTGTTGAACCTGACCTGCCTCTGCACCAAAGCCTCGGAACCTTCTTCGGAACCCTGTTGGGGAATGCTGTTGGCCTGACTCTGCACCAAAGCCTCCCAGACCTTCACCGGAACCTTCACCGGAACCCGGTTGAACCTGACCTGGATGTGGGTCAAAATGGAAGACCTAGGGGACCACAGATGTTAGTCTAGTTTAGTATTAACCATCCAATTATTGGGGTACCTAATTTTGACCCATACCCACTGGCTCTGCACCAAAGCCTCCCCGACCTTCTCCGGAACCTTCTCCGGAACCTTCTCCGGAACCTTCTCCGGAACCCTGTTGAACCTGACCTGGCTCTGCACCAAAGCCTCAGAACCTTCTTCGGAACTCTGTTGAACGTGACCTGCCTCTGCACCAAAGCCTCCCGGAACCTTCTCCGGAACCTTCCCGGAACCCTGTTGAACCTGACTTGGCTTTGCAGCAAAGCCACCCAGCCTTCACCGGACCCCTGTTGAACCTGACCTTCCTGCAACCTTCTCCGAAACCTTCTCCGGAACCCCGTGGTACCTGACCAGGCTCTGCACCAAAGCCTCCCAGACCTTCTCCGGAACCTTCTCCGGAACCCTGTTGAACCTGACCTGCCTCTGCACCAGAGCCTCCCAGACCTTCACCGGAACCTTCGGAACCTTCTCCGGAACCTCGTTGAACCTGACCCGGCGCCTGCACCAGTTCACACCGGAGCTATTCTGGGCTGAAGACCCCATTAGCTTTCGCTGTTGGGGAAAAACTCATTGTCTTCACCACATCAGCCAATTCAAAGGAGGTGTACGTGGTCGGTTATGCATATTTTTCTTGCATGGCTCTATCAGTTTCAGTTGACGTAGAGTCGTAGAGGTTCAATGCTTCGCAAAACCTATCAAAATTCAGATGTTACAAAATGTTGCGAGAATGAGCGTGCTCGAGCATAAGACAGCATCCATCAGCATCCTGAGCATGACGCTAGCAAGTTGGATTGCCAAAGCTCGGCTTGAAGGTTCCACGCCTTCATCAAAGGTGATGAAAGTGTTTCGAACGCACACCCGGCCCCTCCCATCCATGGCAAAGGCAAGCCAAAACACTGCTTGCCAGTACACTGCCTGTCTACTTGTGAGAGGAGTGGAATGGCTATATGTTGGCTTTGTCTGGAATACATAGCTTGAAGACATGTGGCTTGTCTTTCCGGATCTGAAAGAAAAGAAGTACAACAGCCAGACTTTGCCCAACTCATCCAATGTGGACGTAGTATGATGTAGTCATGCTGCTTGCAGCTTGTCATCGCAATGCATTTCTTTCACATGCTGTTGGAAAACTGCAGCCTCAACTGAACCACTCACTGCGGCACACAAATGATAAAAGCCAAGCTAAGAATGTTTTGCTGCTTTGCTAGAGCTCCAACCGTGAGAATGGGCCAGCCACCACTTCTTAGCTGTATGCAGCTTCATCCTTTAACGAACCATCAGAATCACCAGAATCATCAGAATCAATTTTAGTTAATTAACGAAACATGCACAGAATGACAGGGAGTCGGCCGGCAAATTCAAATGTGAGAGGCTTTTGTGCTTGACAAGTCACTCTAGCCAGGGCAGTTCTTGCAAAGAAGGGTCCTGCCAAACCCACAGGATCACAGGTCTGACAGGCACATTCAAATCTAGTGACAGAATCCGCACCTTCCTCTTGTCAGAGACATGAAAGGTAGTTTCAAATTAGTTCAACTCAAGTCCTTCAAAAATTTCGGCGATGTTGGCTATGATTCTGATGTAATATCGCAATAGTTCCAAGTGCGTCACTCCCCACAGCGGTGGATAGTCAAAATTAAGCAGGGACCTGCACTAAACCGGTGACGGTTTCGTTGAAAGTGTCAGCACGCAGCAGCACATCGCAAGTACAAGAATACCTCCAAGTATAAAATTTATAAAATACAACAAACCTTCAGGATGGCAAGACCTTGCCAGAATGAATCTGTTTCGGATTTGATGTTGCTTTTCCGTCTTCATGTCCCGGTCAGTTTGGAAGAAAGAATTGGATTTGAGAAAATAAATATCAGAAATTTACAACTTATATACTATATATACTCACATTTTCAAAGTTCCAAGTGGCTGAAAAGTTAGTATTCGCTTGCTCAGTGTCATGGTGCCAGAACTATACCACATAGAGAAAATCAACATTGATGCAGTTGGCTTCACGTCACGAACCTCTGCAACGAAGAAATATGTAGCACACTCCATGTGCCTGCGCAACCACAAGGACCACGCACGGACAACCGCAACAAGAACAAGAACAAGAACAAACAAGAACAAGAACAACAACAAGAAAAAAAAGCAAAAGAACAACAACAACAACAACAACACCAACACCAACAGCAACAGCAACAGCAACAGCAACAGCAACGGCAACAACGGAAGCAACAACAACAACAACAACTACTACTACTACTACTACTACTACTACAACTACAACTACAACTACTACTACTACTACTACTACAACTACTACTACTACTACTACTTCTACTACTACTACTACTACTATTACTACTACTACTACTACTACTACTTCTACTACTACTACTACTACAGCAACAACAACAACAACAACAGCAGCAGCAACATCAACAACAACAACAACAATAACAACAACCACAACGACAACCACAACCACAACGACAACGACAACGACGACACCGACAACGACAAGAGCACCACCGCTACACACTAGAAAATCACAACTGATATGGTTTGCTGCCAATCGATTTCCTAAAGCAATCTGCTTCAAATAAGTCCCGCGGGTTTGGCTGCAGAAAGAACTTATCTCGTAAGTCTTGGCTTTCATTCTTTCCGATGGGTCAGGCATGGTCAGGCGAACCTCAGGTAGCCCTCCTCCGTCTCAAACTGCACTTGAATGGTTTGCCTTTCACAGGAATCTTGCGATTTCACCTGACCTATGCTCCTGACTGTAATCGCTTCTGTAGATTGCCTGACACACTTTTGCATCATTGGCTGGCTATCCAATAACGAAAATCTGCATCATCTGCCAGTCTTCATAATCCACCGACCCCAAGCTGAGCCAGGGTAGCGCAACCAGGTTCAAACAACAACTCGACAAAAACACAACAACCAACAGAATGCGATAAATATCAACAGCAACAACAACAACAACACCAACAGCAACAGCAACAGCAACAGCAACACCAACAACAACACCAACAGCAACAGCAACAGCAACAGCAACAGCAACAGCAATAGCAATAGCAATAGCCACAGCAGCCGCCACAGCCGCCACAGCCGCCACAGCCACAGCACAACCACAACCACAACAACGACCACAGGGACAACGACAACAGCAACAGCAGACGCAACAACAAGGACAACAATTCCGTTGCATCTAGCTGATAAGAAGCATCTTGCAAATCGCACGGTTTTGAGTTTTGAGTGCATTGGTGTGAGAAAAGAACTGAAAGACAGTCGGAAACCTCGATGCAGTCACTATACTGCGATCTGCAGAACTGAGTTACAAAACAAGATAGAACGAGGCACATTCCAAGAAACCTTCATGCAACCCTATTGAGGCAGAACAGGAAAGAAACGCCTTTTTTGCTCCACTGTTGCGGCTGTGAGCCCCACTCAAATGCACTTCCTAAAGCCGCAAATGCACCAAGCTGGCAACTTCACCCAAACTCTCCTACTTTCGTCCAACACTGACACTGGATTTTGTTCGTTTTGCATGATCTATACAGTCTATACAGCATATTTGGCCCTGTTGACAGTTGCTGGAGTTTTGACTGATAGGAAATTCCACTGTGTAAGACTATCTTGCTGAATTTTCGAAACACTGCATTAGTCGTGACATAAGTTGCCTTTTTTAAGCCACTAAAAATAAAAAGGTGCAAGCCGTACCACGGCACCCTCTAGCAAAGACACTCAGATTCAAGAGGGTTTGAGTAGTCTTTCGGAGCAGGGTGATTAGAGCTTGCAAGTCCAAGAAAAAAAACACAAACATACAGTAACATACACAAACATTCAAACCATTGTTGTCTTTTTGCCCAAAGTGACATTGCTGTGATTAGAGTCATTCAAAAGAGCGATGCTCTCAAACTTTTGGCCGATGCACTGACTTGATCTGACTTGGCTGTTTTGTCAACTCTTAACATCTCTTCAAACAATATCAGCGCCGCCTGCGGTAGCGCCCCCGGTGGACACCCTCCAAGATGTCCATGGCCTTGAGGGTGCTTTCATCGATCAGATAGACCTGAGAGGCAAGAACCTTTGTGCCATGACCATGGTTGGGGCTTGGTGGAGCATGGTCATCCATCCCAGAATGGAAATCCTTATGGCAACATACATCCCTTGACCAAGTGTTGCCCATGGCACTTCATCAGCATCCATGTCTACATTATATACATTCCACATGCGAAGATAGTCCTGCCTCACCCATGACATTGAATCCTTTGCCGGCCTGCTCAAGAAAACGACTTGACTTTTGGCACTTTCCACACAAACTTGACACCCAGCAAACGAGTAGTGACAGCAAAAATATATAAAAATATAAGACCAGGCTGCCAGGTTGGGTGTAGCAGTGTAGCATCCTTCTTAAAGCCACAAGCCGCCACAAGCCACAGGATGGATTGAAAGGTACCTCGTCCAGCAGCTGCGGAGCTCCCGAGCTGCCAGTCTGATTGGGTGGCCGCACCTCAATGGTTTCTGAACTGCCTACGCTGTCCACAGCGTAGAAAATTAGAAAGATATGACTGCAGGAAATCAATTTCATTAAAATGTAGATCTGTGTTCTATTTGTGTTTATGTATGATATAGCCAACTTCGATCAAATTCTTCAACTCTAACCTTTCCCACAAGGAAATTAACCATACTCCCAAATTTGTTCAAATCTTTCCAATCTTTTCTGGAGGAATTGCAACCTCGAAATCTGCACTTTGGAAATTCCCCTATCATCAAGTAGGCTTTTGGAACAAAATCATTTCTTGGTCAAACCCAGACCAACTTGGGTCCGCACGACCATCGGGTAGCTCTCAATCGTACAACCATCTCCAACAAAAACGGCCTGTCAAGTTGCAATGCCAACCATTGGTTCATTGAAGCGTGCGTCTTGAATTTGGATCGCCCTTCCTCTGATCTCTTGAGAGAGCACAACTGGCAAATCATCCATTGGCGGTTCAGCGCTGACCGACATCACAACGCAAACACGGTGCTTTTGGGGAATCTCAAAATTTAAACCAACCGCACAATGGTCAATGAATGGTCAATGAATGGTACTGATTTGAATGAAACGATCCCTGTCGCCAAGTAGTGGACCTGTGGCGGGTCGCATAAAGCTGGGACAGTGGTTTCCCGCCTTGCTGTCAGACTCAGCGATGCCCAAATACCTCTCTGAATGACATGTTCAGGTGTATCATCTGTATCACCAAGAAACAAGACATGTGCTACGCAGTGACAAGCCAGAAAGCAAACAGCTCATTCTTGAACAAGTGCGATCAAAGCCATGATGTGCTCAACTGTGCCTTGAATAATTGAAGAAGCCTCGCTTAAGGGTGCCATAAACAAAAAGTGCCTCAGTCAAGAAATCTGTGTCTCTGGGCTTTGAACGGTTCCTGCGCAGTCTGCTTTGAAATCGAAACAAATTCATCTTCCCGTGGACAGTTTATATTAGCTTATGCAGTATATGCAGTATATGCCATTTCTTGGCTTTAATCTCCTCCAGCGTCTCGCAAAGATGAATCTATAGTTCCTTTGAACTCTCTTTCTCATCGGTTCTCATCTCATTCACTCTTGCAAAGGAAGGAATTCCTAAAAACTGTGTGGTTTTGCCTTTTGTTCAGTGCCCCCTATGCCCAAAGACAAGGTCTGGCACGTATAGGCTCAAGCCAATGTACATATCCATTAAACCGACCTACTCTATGGTCTTGCACATTGTATAGCAGCTTCATCCACATGTCTCATGCTTTAACTTGTCACAGATTTGTTGTTGCTGCCCAACCTGTTGTCTTGGATTGTTCTTCCATTTGCTTTTGCAGGAACAAAATGCACTACGGCCTTTTGTCCTAAGTTCCCTTGTTCAGGTCCTTGCACCAACATCACTTTCTCAATTCAAAGAAAACCAGGACTAGAAGTCTCGTTCGATTGTCTTCTCCCTCCATCTCGTACACACACCAAACACTGTGTAGTCCACAACCAAAAGGTTCAACGTTGGTGGCATCAGCTTTGCCAAGGATGAGTAGTGTCTTGCTCCCTGCGAAATGTCAAAGAATGTCGGATCATGTCTGATAAATGCAAGCCAGAAACAGTATCATTGGTTGTGGTCTGGCCGCACATTCTGCTGCTTGGCTTACCCTGCCAGAATCTGCAAGTGCAAGAGCAAACTGCTTTGTGTGAAGAAGAAAAAGAAACATATATATATATAATATAATATATTATATGCAATACATAATTATATATATAAGAAAATAGAAGAAATAAAGAGAGAGGAGAAAAAAAAGATGAGGAAAATGCCTTTCTACTTTTCAAAGCTGTTCTGGCCCCTTCCAAATCTTCACTATGAAGTTGTACTTCTGGAAAGGTGTTTCATTTGTGGGGGCAGAATCTACAGTGGCAAAGCAGTACTGACCTGCAGCCGCTACAAAGGACTTCTTAGCATGTTTACTTGAATGACAGTTGGGCTGACTGGGCATACTATCGTAGACGAACTTTGGAACTTGATTGAATCGGGCCCTGGAACCCTACCATAGTCGCCCTAGTGCCTTGAAAGCCAAGTGCACGGTCGTGGAATCTACCCTGGATCCAGAGAAGCTGCAAATGCAAAGAGTGGTCGATGTGGAATGCAAGGTGTCGAGGTGTCGAAGTGTCGAAGTGTTGCCGAAGTCGTCCAAAGACATTTGGATCCACCGCTTCAACTCACATAGCGAGAAGATGCGAGAAGATGCGAGAAGTCTTTTGGACATTTTTGAACAATGCAAGGCCAGTTCACTTTGTCGGAATCTAATCAATGCGAGTCGCATCAAGTGCTATTGAGCATAGTGAGACAGACCTCTTGTCTCCGAAGGATACAACAAGCATTTTGACCCAATCAAGAGTCTAGCAAGTATTCAATGTTTACACATCGTTGTCAACAGAAGAACCAGCAGTGAAACCCAAAGGTAATGGCTCCATGAGACCAAATAAGAGATGTAAGAGATGATAAGAGTACAATGATCACTGGTTTCAAAACAAAAGACTGTATTTGTGAGACAGCAGGCTTTCTCTTCCCTCACCCAATGCCTTGCGTGCATTTCACATGGGTTGCTTAGCTTCGCATGGTCGTGTGATTGATTTTACAAGACTACCCATTGAGCATGTGACGACAAGTGTCTTCCTCATAGACTCCTTCCAGGGGCAAGAAACCAGTGTACCTGCATCATCCAGAAAGCATAGTGACAGTTTCTTTGGGTTGGCTGTCCTAGCCTGTCTGAACTTCTCTATCAATCTCTTAATTCTGAAAGAAACCATCAGGGTTGTATGAAGAAGTACCAATACTGTAAGGACATAGGAAGCACACACGCAGAGCTCAATGGTGAAGTGTGGGAGCTCAATGGTGAAGTGTGGGAGCTCACTTCACAGCAGATTTGTCAGTTGTGGAGCGCTTCTGGTACTGCATCTTGTACGACCTGAGGTCGCAAATTACACAACACGAGACGTCCAGCTGGTTGAGTTGTGAATCGCAGCATGCTTTGTTTGTTGTCGCTGAGAAAATGGCGGGCCATATTGGATGTTCCCTGCGACGACTGGAGGGTTGGCCACACCTCACTAGAGTCTACAGTACATCTTGAACTGACTGCTGGTCACCACTCTTGGACAACAACATCAAACCTGGATCTATTGCTTCAATTGTCTAAGGATCTTGCTGGTCATCTGTGGGCGCGATACATTAGGCATGAACTGACCCTGCATCGCCAAAGGCGGGCCTCTCAAAATAAGCAACTCACAAAGCGTTCTACATGTTCTACTCTGGTCAATGGAAAATTGCCAGACCACAGCAGTTTGCAATTGTAAAGCACTTTGGTTTCCGGAGCTTGACAAAACATTCTACAGTTGGTCTACAGTTGTTCAGTGACAGGATCCTCGCCAGAAGTTGTTTCATCTACAGAGTGGCCTTGTGCAGGTCCTGGTGCGCCATATGCAACACTTCCACAGCCGCCACAGCCGCCTTCGAAACAGAACACGCTTGAAAAAATCATCAAAATCCAATTCGCAGCACCATTGAAGAGATTCGAAAATCCATGCTTGTGTCTACAGAGTCTATAGTCTTTACATGTAAGGTATCAAAACTTGACCGGCAACATATTTTTAACAATCACCAACAACGCATCAAATTTATGCATGTACAGGAGATCTGGAGATCTGTTCACAAAGAGATACGAACGTTTATACTATACACGTTCATGCATTTATTAAAGTCTATGCATGTGCACAATGTAGGTCTCAATGTCAACATGATGTAGAGACAGCTATTAGCGTATATTTATATCATATTATTCATTATAGACTTTGCACCTATCACTCGTGGTCCAATAAAAAACTAAATGCAGATATACAGGGTGATGTTCTAATATGCTCTTGAAAGAGATAAACAAACAAAAACAAGTACAAATGCCTTTGGAACCAAAAAACAGTGTAACACAAAAATATCCAAAACCCAAAATATGGATGATAAATACAGTGTGTATATACTGTGTATATACTGTGTATATACTGTGTATATATAATATTGATGCACTAAGTAGTTACATATCCATACATATCCCTTCATACATAGATTAAATGCCTGAAATTACATGTTCTACAGTGCAGTGCGGCGTGTTAAATTGCATTCCCATTGCAATACATTAGAATATATGATATGATATGATATACATACACAGTGCTATGTAGATGAACATTCATGTAGGTAGACATGCAAGTGCCTCGACATAAACATTTCTGCACACATTACAGATCAATACAGTTTATCGTCATCAAACAATTTGCGTGCGATATGACTCCAAACCAATCCTCATGCAGGAGTGAAAGGGGAAATTGATTGAGCAGGATTCAGGATTAAAGTTTGATTAAAAACATCCATGCTTCTGAGACTGCCCTTGTCACAAAATCCCTGAATGAAGGTGCCGCAAGTAGGAAGCAAACAGAAGGACTAAACAAGGAGTTAGTGTGTATATATATATATATTTGAGTTCAATTTTCAACCAATCGCACTTCGCTGTGTTTGGTTCCAGGTACTGAATGAAAATTGGATTTTGAACCGGGCAAGTGACCAGCCTGGCATGGCCGGCATTGAGCCCATATTTGGCATTGAGTTCATTGGACCTAGCAACTCGCAGTGCACACTATGAGTCAATATAGCAGCCGTGTTTGAGGGAACAACACTCCTTGAAAGTCTCACGAACACGCGACCAACAGAACATAGAGCATGGAGAATGCCAAATCGACGAAATTCAAATTGGCGGAATCATTGATCGCCTGGCTGGTATCCACCCTGCATGGAAGCAGCAGACATCGGTGGTCCGCTCATGGGAACTCCTGGCATATCAAAAATACTTTGGCTTTAGTTCCAAGTATTCTCCAAATGGTGACGCACGATATTCGCTGAACATTACCCAAGTTTGTCACTCAAAGCGCTGAAAAAATGAAATTCCGTCCTCCAGGCATACCTGTCCTTTGCAACACAAATGTGCAAAATGCGAGAATAAAAAAACATGAAACATACCCAGCACATTAAGAACTACACGAATCCTTGGTATCCGCTAACACTCTGGAAAAAAAATCCTTCGACTGCATACTGGCAGGTGATTGTAGAATGTTGTGATTTTAATCACCTGAAACCAAAAACCTTTCAATTTTTTACCTTGAACCCCCACATGCAACAAATGGATGTCATTCAACAGGATAAAGAACTGTTGCAACGTTTGTGATCAAACTCTTCAGGTTCTTGTAAATAAAATTCAATCATGTTCCATGAATTTCATCCGGCTTCATTGAGGCTAGAACCCTGGAATGGCAGTTCTGGGAACGTTGCCCTCGGGCAAAACAAAACACAAAATCGAAAAACAAAATGTCGCTAACAAATTCACGACCATGCACCGACTTCCGCCGATTCAAGCCGTCTTACTCAGTCCCGAACCATCGAGCCGAAATTTGTCATCGGTGGGGCAGTTCCCTTCCCAACATTTTTTGTTGCAGCACACCAACGATATCATAGTTGTTCACGGTTGCGCAATGTGTCAGCAATGTTTTGCAGCATCAAATAAAGTCAAAAACACCCGTCCTGCGGCCCGCCGACTTGAGGAGGCATCTTGGACAAAACCCATCATAGATGTTGAATGATAAAATTTGTTTATCAGTTGTGTCTATGTATCCATTTTAAAGGTTCCATTTGATGGAATGATAATCTGAATTTGCACACTTCCGAAAAACACAACAATTGCAATGACTATCCAAATTTGACAAACGGCATCTTCACAAATCCAAACCATCGGCGGTAAAGTTTTGAGGGCATTTTGAGGCCGGCACACTTTGAAAGGCTTGGGGCGGCCCTCGGTTCATATTCCCGCTCGTTGGCCTCATGTTGTTTGAATATGTCATCAAAATGCCTGAAAACCATATCCACGTACATCAACCATGTTCACTCACATGCCAAATGATAGAGATAAATAGTTGAACTCAGATTGCAACGGCATTGCTGGCATGGACTGCATGGTGAAGATCTGATCGGTAAAGAGCGAAACATCATTGATCTGTTGCCACTGGAATGAAAATTCACCGAAATGCGACCAGCGCCTGGATTGCAACTACAGTACAAAGCTGAGAATGACCCCTGGTCAGCCAAATGGCCAATGTTTCCGCCAAACAACATCAGACTCAGATTTGTTGTGACTGACCATTCATGACGAAATTTATTTCACACCATTGAACCAAAACATATTGATGAGTTGGTGGCACATTCCGTTTGCATTTAACCCCATGCCCATTGCTGTGAAATTCAAATCGTTGAATTTTTTGTTTCCCTGCGCTAATGATAACTGGCCCTGGCCCAAGCGTGGAATAAAATGTTTCTGAAAAATGTTTCGTTTTTGTCAAATGACATTGTTTTATCCACAACATTATTTGCACACGTCACGAGACAACAACATAGACAATAAACATCAATAAACTGTGTTTGGACGCCCCCCGACAATTTGTTTCACCAAAATAATTTGAAACAAACGCGCGGGTAATCATATGAAAACCTTTTTTGGTTTGTTGGTTTCCATCGGACTGCAGAGTATTGATTGTTGCTGGACAGGCCGCCTTTTGTCCGGTTTGCATACACTGACGCGTTCATGACAATGAATTATCCATTTGCCATGAAAAAATCAAAATGTAAATACAAATAAATTCTAAAAATTCAAAAGCAAAATATCAGAGAAAAACGAAATATAAAAATGAATTTTGATACAAATATAAATTTAAAAATTGTATATATACATTTGATTTTAATTAAAAACACATATGAATATGAAAATAAAGAAGAAAAACGGTAAAAACTATAAATATAGATACCAAAAAAACTATTATACGAAAATATAAGTATAAAGAAATGATGAAAAAATATAGATATAAGTTCGGTTACAAATTTAATATCAATGATTTTACTATAAATATGGAAAATATGAATATTTAAAAAAAAATGTATTTATGTTGTTGTCCACTACGATTTCTCAAGTGCCAGCGGCTTTCAGCAATTTCTTTTCCTCCGCGCGGCCCATCCAAATTTGCTTGCTCTGTGGCCACGGAAGCCAGCTGCCACCACGGAAGAGCATGACCAGAAGGTCGTCGTAGCGCTCTTCAAACAGGTAGTGCCATGCCACAAGAGCACCGCATCAAGCAGAGCTGTCCGCTATTGTCTGGGCTGCCAGGCGATGGGTGGCACGCCTCTGCAAAGAAGCAAAGCAGAATTGCACGGTATCTCGTCCTGCGAGTTAAGAGCAGCTGACTTAGGGGAGAAAAGGGTAAATTTTTGCGGCAACTGCTAGTGCTTTACGAGTTTTTTATGGCAGACCAACCAGCGCAGTAAGGGAAGCAGTCTCCTGCAAGTAGGACACCAGCGTCACCTGCTATCACAATCGCATGCACCACATGATGTCTTGTACAGATCTGCCGGTTCTGTACGCCATCAAAGCAAACCCACCACGAAGTCCACCTTGCGTCAGGGCGGCGGACTCAAGAATCTCTAACAACGGGGGTTGGTGTCAAACAAGGCTGCTGTCTTATCCAGATTACAGAAAACCAAATGCAAAAGGATGCACGTGGTGGTATCCGAAATCTTCAAGTGTTGCACATGAGCAGGATTCCTGAACTTGCTATTGAAGAAACGCAAACGCAGGAAGACAGGAACATATCAACATATCCATCTTCCGCTAAGTCTAACGGTAGCAGAAGGTCTTCTCTGCAGCAATTCAGTATTTCACCCACTCAACCACCACCAAAGAAAGACAGAGCAGTTGCTAAAGCCCGCCCATACCAACGGTAAGCCAACCAAGTGTACACATATGTACACATCGCTTTGACAACGGCTTCTGGTAGAGGAACACGGTGCTTGACTGGTTCTTGGGCCTCCCATCTTGAAACCATCCCAAGACAGCTGCATGAACGTACGTAAACTAGGCTTCCATCTCTGGGCTGCCAAAAGCAAATGTCTCAGGTTGCTGAGAGCACCACCAGTCTAAAACGTCATGTCACCATAGCATCACAAAAGCAGCGCTAAACCTTCCGGCACCTTGTTGAAGAGTTCCTCAAGTGCTATCGCTCTGACTTCAGTTTGGCACCAAGACAGGAAAGCTTGCAGAAGTCTACGTTCTTCAAGGGCTATCGTGACAGGCAACAGAAGTGGCGTGCTTTCAAGAGTGTCACGCTGCCAAGTGGCCTTTGATGACCTCCCAGGGGCAGGATTTGCAGCCTCGCCTACTCGGACGCAGCAGCCAGAATTGAGCTTGTCTTTGTGCAACCATCCAGCTTTGACTCTGTCGCTCGAGGTAAAAGGCGTCTCAAGCCACGCGGATAAGGCTCGGCCACTTTTGTTCATTGCATGCCATGCAAACGGCTGTATCCGCTCAATCTCACATGTTCACGTTGCATTTTTTTCCCTCGGCGTGCGGCCGATGCAGCTCGAAGGCTCGGTCCTTTGCAATAGAAATAAACCAATTAAGTATAGATCGTAATCAAAACACGATCTCTTGTTCGCTGTACAATCAGCAGGTTGGATTAGAGGCATACTCAAAAGGAGACAGACAACCAAACCAAAAAACCAGCGAAGTGGCCGAAATGCAAATCCCCCAGCCAGATTTGCGTATCGACACAATGCAAAGCAACAACGGGAAAAGGGGCCGGAGCCCAAATAACCGCCCAAAACATTCACGTTGCAAACATTTGCACAACATTCGTATCCCCTGTAGCGCACTGTTGGTGGCAAAGCGGGTTTCTTTCTGCAGGGGGTGCCGAACCTGCAAAAAGAGCAACGGAACACATGTGGACTGTCGCCCTGCTTGAAGCCCTTCCATCCTTTCAAAGCCCTTAGAAGTTCCAGATTCCAAGTGGGAAAGCTGAGGTCAAGGTTTTGTTGTTCACAAAATGTTTTGTGCATGTGTTTTCGAAAGTTAGTGCGCCGCAAAACTTCCAAGTTACAGGCATGGAAACTGTCTAATTTTGTCCAATACAAATTTTTCCTTTGACGCAAATAAAGGGAGCATCATTGCTTTGCAATGAGTGAAGCCTTATTTACTTACTCAAGACCGGCAGTTAAAACTCTTAAACATTTGTGCCTATTGGCGCTTGGGGCTAGATATCGCCAAGGACTCAAGAGTCCGCAAGGTGAACAGCGTAGCTTATAAAAAACGCGCGCTCGGCTTACACTTTGTTTTTTTCCTCGGAGTGTGGCCGATTAAGCTCAGTGGCTCGGTCCTTTGTACTTGTAAACATGAAACTGTGCGAAAATAAGATCCACGATGGAATCGACATGTACAGCCGTGCTGGACCAATGCGGCAGAGATAAAAACAAACAACCAACAACAAACAAAGGGGCAAAGAAGCCAGAAAGCGAAGAGAGCGAAATGCAAATCCCCCCAACGCCACCAATCACCCGGCACAGAGTGCCGCACGCCTCATTCACGGCTAAAGGCTTAAAGATCACAATCCAATGGATCCCAGCCTTTCTATAGAGCACAAAACAACCGAATAACAAAGTGCCATGCAAGCAAAAAAAGGGCCTGTACAAATCGAAAGCGCTATTGGCACACTCAGAGTCCTCTCAGTCGTGGTCGCCAAAAGGCATCCGATCAGGTTAGTTCGCATCAGCTTGTGAATGCATAGCCGGCATAGCCAAAAAGCAATAACAATTTTGTGGGCTCACAATCAGTGATTGAAAAACCAAGGACAGGCCCCCCCAGGGGCCTGAACTACACCAGACGGGCCACCGAGGCACCCCCGGCGGGTGAGGACTTCGCAACACACGCACATAGGCCAGGGCGGCCAGGGAGTGATATTGATGTGCAGTGGCCAGTCAACAAAAGGGATTCAGGAACTTCATCACGATAAGCCGCTGATGGTCGCACAAGTAAGTACCTTGAGTTCGTCGGGGATGACACAAATACAGATGCTGTGCAGTGATGATCATCTCCGAGATCCAGAATGAGAGCCGCCCGACGAAAGACATGGCCTAGAGGACAAAGATCCCACACAGGGCAGCAATGCCTTGAATGCCATGACCAGCAGTCTTGAGATCTACATCCCTTCGCTCGTCTCTTTTGCTCATCTCGAGCCTCAATCAGGCACTTGTCACCGGCCATACTCACCACACTGTTGTCGACAGGTAGATGGCAGAATGTCTGAGAAGCCACCGGATATGATCGCTGAAGCGCCAACGCAACCGATCCATGTTGGCAGACTTTGCTGCAGCACGGAGCGCATTGGGAGATACAGGGGGGGGACCAGCGCCCGGACACTACAAAGTAGCTGCCAGGATCCAGCACCCGATCACACCAATTCCATGGCAACATCCGACTACGGGGGGGGCACCATTAATTTTTTTTCCTCGGAGTGCGGCCGATTAAGCTCAAAGACGCAGTCCTGAAAACAGATCTAAGTACATAAAGAGCGGGCACAGAGACACGTTCAAATCTCTGTTGAAACTGTGCAAAAACTACCGGTGGCATAAACCAACCAACCACACAAAAGCATAGGGAAGAAGTGCAGATCCCCCGGTCAGATATGCGGACCAGAAAAACAAAGCAACACAAAACAAACAAAAACCGAAAGGAGCCAGAGCCCAAACACAAACAAACACAGCACAGCCACCAAAGCATCAAGAGAAAAAAACCCTCGATGCCTGCACAAAAACAATGCATAAACGAATTCGCTATATTGACCACACAGGAGACCGACACAAAAAGAGCAACTGCACAAACCTAATGGAAAATCTCTCAGAATCCTCTCAGTAGTCCTAGTCCAAGTCATCAAGACATGCTTCATCAACGGCGGCAGATAGACCACAAGCAGGCCACCAACGTAGATTCGCATAACAAAGATGTGCTATCACGACCCTACAGCCTCCAAGGGGGGGGCAATCCCAACCAAGGGGGCATTCATAGCGTAGAGTAGGTCTCGACGGTCTCGACTGAAAAAAATCAGGAGCTGCTGAGACTCACCGCAAGTAGGAGCCACCATTCAGACAGGAATTGCGCACCACACAGGGAAAGCTTCACAGTGTGGGAATCTACACACACACACCCCCTCAAGCACGCCAGGTGTAGCAAGGCACCAGGCTGCAATTGATAGCATT